CCCGGAAGAAATATGCTGATGACAGCACCATTCTGGGCCTCATCAAGGGGGCAGATGAGTCAGGTTACTGGTAGAAAGCATTCTCACTACTGGCATCACAGTCTGGTATGGTAACACCACACAGGCAGAGAGGAAGGCTCTTCAAAGGGTCATAAAGACTGCAGAGAGGATCATTGGGACTGTTAGGTATTTTTAGTCAGATAGATATTGGTTAGGTACTTGTTATATTAGAAATGTTTTTAGTGTAGACAGGATGTCTAGCTCAGGCTGTTAAATGCTTACTCATTTTCATGAGTTACTCCAGGTTGTTTATGGTCAAGGATAACTAGATAGAGAGTTGATTACTGTATGACGTGTTTAATCATAATCATAATATCTTCTTATGCAGAGATGGGCTACTGTATGATATGTTTAGCCATAATCTTAATCATAATATCTTCCTAGGCTTAATGGCCGGACATCTCCCTGAATGTCCTGTATGTTCTTAGATACACACCACTTAATCAACACTCACACACATTGATTTTCTCCATGTTTTGACTACTGCTACGGTTAGCTGTAAAGCTGGCATACCAGAGACGTCACGGTTTGACGTCCCTGTGTAGAATGGGGTTAGCCCAAAACAGATATAATGTACAGGCCTGTTGGGTTCGGGGTCTTTCATCTTTCATCTGCCTGCGTGCAGTTTGGAGGTGCAAGATGCCTGAGCGTGTAATGTTAATTTTTACCTGTGTTCATGGAATAAATAGCACTATTTTGTAGTTACTTGGACTGCCTCGTCTCTCAGAGTCTGTATGGTAAAAAGTACCGGTTACAACAGGACTGAACTGCCTACTGCTTTTTTTAATTTTTATTTATCTATCTATCTATCTATCTATGTACACACTATACACACAGCGCTGTCGTAAAAGGGCAGAGAACATAATCAGAGACCCACGCCACCCAGCTCACTCCCTGCTCAGACACAAAAACTGCACCTACAGCCTCAGGCACAGCAGGGCAGACAGTATCATCACACACAGAACTAGACTTTACAACAGCCTTTTCTCTGCCGCAGTAAGACTGATGGCAAATACAAAAATGTGAGAATATATGTGCAATAACCCCTTACTACTTCACCAAGCATAATGACATATCGAACTCCACCATGTGAATTACTAAGTGTGATGTTTGAATTTTACTGGGAAAATACTATTACCCTATTTTTGTGTATTGTGGTTTTAATGCTTTGTTGGTTTTATGTAACTTTTTTATTTTAAGACTTAGTGTTCTTTCTGGCTTTTGTCTCCTTACCTAACTCCAAAGGAGAGCTGCACAAGAATTCCTATATGCCTAGACTGTTTGTTTATGCATAAATGGCCAATAAAAATCTTGATAAGCTTTTATTATGGTACGCCCTGACTTTCCTGTTTGCCTGTTTTAGTTTTAATTGTATTAGCTTACCTTATCTCTACAATTTGCCATCCTGTTTAACGCTACATGCTCCTTGTCAGAATCTTCATCTGTTCACCTATAAATGCACCAGCTTACTCTTTTTTCTGGTCAGTAGCTTGGTCAGTAGCTTGCTCCCTGTTAGCCCTGATTATCCCACACCAGCTCTTGAACTGCTGTTACCTCAGTCCCTTGTTCCAGGATAAACTATGCTAGTTGTTGGTATGCTGCTTCGCAGTGTCTTTTCACTCTTACCTGGGCCAATTATTTAGCCACCCTCATGCTAGCCGGACTGTCTGCCAAAGACTAAGCTTCATCTGTGGCTTAGGGAAAAGACTCTTAACTGAAAACCACTCTATGCTTTTCTCCTCATGTATTGTATGTGTGTATACTTTATTGAAATTACTTGTGAGATTCTTAAGTTATTCTTAACTGAAATTAACTTTAGATTCCTGAGTTACACTTCTGCATTTACCTGTAATGTTTGGAATATGTACTTATCTGAAGCTGTCTGTTAAGTTACACTTAAGATATTGTAAGTCTCCAGTGAAATTTCTCAGTGTATATTTCCTGTGTCCTTGCATTTGCCTGTGACAACCTGTATTTTTCTATTGCCAGTGGAATGAAATCTTGAATACAAAGAGATAAGATAAATTTCCTCTGTAGAGTAGTTTTGTTCAACCTCAGAGAGGGAGGTAGGAGTTGAGCCGCTGCTCCTTCATGTCAAAAGGAGCCAGTTGAGGTGGTTGGGACATCTCATGAGGATGCTTCATGGTCATCTTCCAGTAGAGGTTTTCTGGGCATGTCCAACTGGCAACCCCAGGATAGACCCACAGCATGGAGAGATATTGAGAAATTATAGATCTCTCTCATCTGACGGGGAACACCTCGGGGTCACTCAGAAGCAGCTGGAAATATTGTTAGTGTGAAGGGCATCTAGAGTTTCTTGTTGAACCTGCTAACACTGTGAATCAACCTCGGATCAGTAGTAGAAAATGAATGGCTGGATGGAGACTTTTCCAGCTTCATTGTGGTTCTGTAGTTCTTTCAGGTGGTCACATTGCAAGACGTGTTGGTGGCTGTTGTTTTGTCTCTCTGAGTGGGCACAATCTACTCTTACCCATTCTTTCTATTACACAAACGTTTTTGTATTTCCAGAATTTTGACATTTTAATTCTTAGCTACATGCATGGACAAAAAAAGCAATCTGTCAACAATGGTCTTTAAACTTATCAAATTTTAAAAATTTTTTCATGTGATGTCAGTGTTAGATTAATGTACCTAAACAGCAAAGATGAATTTGCACTGTTGCATTAACAGTCCAATAATGCAACCCACCTAACTTATTCAACCACTGACATCAGTGTCTTTGGCCGCCCTGTCCGTGCTCATCCGAATTGGTCAAGTGCACTGATTGGCATACATTGTTAGAGATTATTGGACATAAACAAAGATTACAGTCATCCCTGCTATTGAGCCAGATGAGTACAAAAAGCATAGTAGGTTGGAGAGAAAAAACAGCAGCAGAGCTGAGGAGGAAGGGGGGGTGAAAGGTAGGGAAATGGATAAATCAGCTGAATGATAGGAAACTTTGGTGAGAAAGCTGCCAGAGTTCAGCAGTATCACTTCTCTCTGGTGATGGAGACCTTGGAGGAAACTGAACTCTGCTTTCCACAGCTCCTCAACACCTCCTGTGTGAGGTCAAACCGTCCTTATGTTGAAGCCATGTTGACCTATGTTCTGCTGTTGTCTGTCACTCTGCTCACTGCGTTTCTCAACCTGCTGGTCATCATCTCTATCTCCCACTTCAAGTATCCAACTATACCATCAATTCATGAAAGTGGTAGATAGTAATAAAAGGTTACGTTTGTCATAAATGACATAATTATCACCATATTGCAAATTATGAAGAAAACAAACTTCTTTTGTTTGTATTTCAGTCTTTGAGATATCTGCTTTTGCCTCAATAATGACTGATATTATAATGATAAATCTATTTATGCTCTTTCTCTCCAGGCAGCTTCACACCCCCACAAACCTCCTCATCCTCTCTCTGGCTGTCTCAGATTTCTTCCTGGGCCTCCTCCTGTTGTTTCAAATTATGCTCATCGACGGCTGCTGGTTCCTTGGTGACCTCATGTGTGCTGTGTATCAGTGTGTGGCATACATTATTTCCTTTTCCTCAGTTGGAGCCATGGTGCTCATATCTGTTGACCGCCATGTGGCTATTTGTGATCCTCTGCATTACTCCACCAAAATTACACAAAAAAGAAAGACTCAAGACCTGGGTTTGTTTGTGTTGGATGTTGTCTGCGATCTTTCAAAGTCTGATTCTGAAGGATAATCTGGAACAACCAGGCAGGTATAACTCCTGCTTTGGAGAGTGTGTCTTTGTCATTAACCACATTGCTGGATTTGCAGATCTTCTTTTTTCCTTCATTGTTCCCATTATTGTTATTGTAGTTCTGTATATGAGAGTATTTGTGGTGGCTGTGCTTCAGGCTCGTGCCATGAGGTCTCACACTGCAGCTGTCACACTCCAGGGTTCAAAGAAAATAAAAGCCAAAAAATCAGAGCTGAAAGCAGCCAGGACTCTTGGTGTTGTTGTAGCTGTGTTTATAATATGTCTCTGCCCGTATTATTGTGTTGCTCTTACAAGCAAAGATGATTTAATGAATGCATCATCTGCTGCATTTGTGATAAGTCTGTACTACTTTAATGCTGTTCTAAACCCTCTGATCTATGTATCCCTTTACTCTTGGTTTAGGAAATCAATTAAACTCATTCTTACATTGAAGATACTGCAGCCTGAATCCTGTAAGTCCAACATACTGTAGCAAGACACTGCAGGGTGCCTGAATTTAGACCCTAAACATGATCAGAGAAATGTATTTGTCCTGATGAGAACTAAATGAGAAACAAATATAAGTATCTTTAAAGTGAGAGCATATAACCATTATATATGAATACTTTTTACATGCAGATCAGACAAATGAGTCAAAACATCATGACCACTCAAAGATAAGGTACAAAACCTTGAGTATCTTGTAGCAACAGGTCATATCTAGATGACCGGGTCAAAGCATCTTTGTGGGGTTCTCCCGGTCAGCAGTGGTGACTGTTTACAGACAATGGACGTAGAAACAAAGTACAGATCCGCACATCATTGATGCGTGAATTATCTGGGTGCAAAATGAAAAGAGCTACATGGTTCTGTCATGGAGAGCAACAGTTATT